ACACTGTTTCCAGAGGATGCCTCTCTCGGGGGAGGAAGGGCATGTGGGACATGACTGTGGCATGTCCGCATTGTCTGCTGTGGAAGCCTCATGGAAGGGCTCCTCAGATACCCGTGCCCACGCCTGCACAGGGAGCCACATGTGCCACGCAGGACAGACAGACAGCATGGTATGGACAGGCCGCGTGGTACAGAAGCTCAGGGTTCCTTTAGGACAGGCTACCTCACCTGTACACCTGGGTTGTCAGTTACACCACACTGTGTGTATCGCTCCCAGGCAACAGGCCAGCAAGTGCACTGAGGACACATCTGTACAACCACACATACATACACATGACCACACAGGCACACATGCGCCCACAGGACAACACAACCATGTCTGACCACTTTAATACACCATTACACACATACGGTGCATACACAGCCCCATGTTCATAGGGGCACGTGCACACACAACCAAATGTACGACTACACATACATGCATGGATGTGTTGCACAATGCGTGTGCACGGTCAGGTACACGTGACCAGTCACCTGTGTACACACAGGCCCGTCTCTTCGGCCCCAAAGCACAAAATGACTGCAACTGGGAACCCATGTGTGATAAGGAAATTATCCCCTTTGACCCTCCGCAAGCAGCAGGCAACACAAGCTCAGGTGTTTCCATGAGCTCGGGTCAGCAGGAATAATCTCGCACAGGACAGGTCGGTAACCACACACATCTTATAAACTTATGAACCTCGCTTCGATGAACTCACCCACCCAAGTGGTCAGCCAGACAAAGGTGTACCTGACTGCTTTAAATAACACGATGGGCTGTCTTGTGTTTTCAAGGTTACTTCCATCATGTAAATAAAATCAGTTTTCAAGACTATGGCTGTCCTGGAAAATTTTTGGCCATTTTAGAACAATACAATTCCAAATAAACAAAAGTATCAAGTTCATTTTTGTGAAGAAATAAATGGGGGGAATAGTAGGAAGCGGCATCCGGTGTGGAGCTGGTTACCTACACTGCCACACAGCCTTGAGGGGATCAGGGGACAGGGAAGATGCCAGACACCCATATGGATGAGTTGTACCCATAATGTACATAAACAACACACATGCACGCACATGTGCACAAGGCTAAGTCATGAGCATATCAATCTAGTATATAGTGGGAACTCTCTGAAGTATGCTTTTATTATTCTCTCCACATTAGTTACATTTTATAGGCATCAGTTTTTCAAATCTTTTGTTAAATTTGTGAGATCTCGTAGCAAGAGTGCAATATGAATATTTTTCCCAAAGCAAAACCTAATCAGATATCCATAGGCTGCTTTTCCAAAAACAACTTGGTAGCCAGGCACCAGTGGTTCATGCCTGTAATCCTAACTACTCAGAAGGCTGAGATCTGACGATTCTGGTTCTAAGCTAGCCGGGGCATGAAAGTCATTGAAATTCTTATCTCAAATTAACCAGCAGTAAGAAAGTCAGAAGTGAAGCTGTCACTCAAGAAGGTAGAGCACTAGCCTTAGGACAGAGCTAGGCCCTGAGTTCAAGCCCAGGGCTAAGGCACACAGATACACAGATACAGATATACAGAACTTCGGGTCTGCAAAGTAAAGCTACCTTTTGGAAAGGCACATGTGGTGGGCCAGGGCAAGGTAGTGTTTTACACCTATAATCTCAGCTAGGGAAGAGGGAGATTGGGAGGATTGTGGTTTGAGGCCAGGGTGGGTAAAAAGTTCACAAGACCTATTTCAGCAAATAAACTGGGCCCATGGTGGTGCATGCCTGTAATCCTATCTATGAAGGAAGCATAGGTAGGAGCCTCTGCTAACTAAAGGAAAACCAACTAAAGGAAAAAAAAAATGTCTTGAGGAATGGCTCGGGGTGAAGTACCTGCCTGGTGACTGTGAGCCCGAGATCAAACCCCAGGATTAGAAAAACAAAAATAAAACCTGTCCTCAGAGTTATACAATTCTTGAGATTTAGAAAGAAAATTTGTAAAACAATTCATATTATTATCATCTCAAATTTTCCACGGGACTCAATGTATGAGTTCAAGCTGCTAGCACTGAATTAAGGGCAGTGACAGAAACGGCTGGGCACAGCAGCTCTCCCAGTGACTCTTCAACACTGCAAAGCACAGAGGCTCTAGGAGAAGTCTCCGACCACCATGAGGAGCACCTACTTTAACCCTCAACTTACTATTTTTACTTACGTTGAAATCTGGCTCTATCATGAAAATTCTTATTGTATATATAATTAAACTATACTCTTTCCTAATCTTAAAAAGAAAGTTAGAAAGCTATTTTGATTTGGAACCATAGTTCCCTTAGCTCAAGAACATTTAAATTTGGTCACTCACTCTCTCATTAGGTATTTAAAGCAACTTTTACTGAACTTTGGCAGTTTGTTGACAAATTCAGGTCTACCTAAACATAACTTTAGCAATAAAATTCCACTACAATATGAAGGTTATTACTCTTTGTCTCAGGAAAGGAATTATTAAGGCTTATCTTTTTTCTGAACCTAACTATTAAAACAGTAGAATCAATCTAACATAGATTTCTTCAGCAGTTTTAAAGCTCCCCACATTTAACCTCCAAAAAACAAACTTTTTAGTTTTGCCAAAGAGTATACTGTTCATGGACTATACAAAGAAAGCATAATTCATTTTAGGAAGAATAGTTATTTCCTTTATCATAAAAATATCTACAATGCCAAGGGCAAAGAAGAAGGCTAAAGAGAAGAGTGAGACAGAGACCATGTTTCTGTGTAAGCCAGTAATACTAAAATTAGTGTTTTTTTCATTTAATTAGAAATGAGAGAAAATACATAGAGACAAGAATGGGAAAAACAAATTGTTTAAATAGGGATACAGGTGGACCCATTGCAACAATGAGATGTACAAGTCGTTATGTTGAAAACGAACTTTACAACTTTGGCGAGGGGGGAGGAGGGAGGAGGACTGGGTGGGGAGGCGGGGGGAGGATGGGAAGGGATGGTAAAGGGAAACAAAGGAGGAGGCTACAATGCTTGATAAGAAATGTACTCATTATCTTGCCCATGTAATTGCAACCCCTCTGTACAGTATTTTCACAATTAAAAAAAAAAAAGAATGGGACAACTTGATAGTGCATTCTGATGGGAAAAAATACTACACATTTTCTTCAAAAGTGTAATTGTTCAATCTCCATTGTTAATATAAGAAACTAACTACAATGAAGTTTAACCCCCTCCCCCAAATCCCGGTGGTTTCCTAAAATCAAGTCAAGAGAGAGGAAGGTAAACAAGTAAAGAGCAAGGGTGAGAATGCAGCAAAAAATTAAATGCATATCCTACAAAGTTAAGAAAATGAGGAAGGGCTGGGTTGGGAGGGATGAGTAAGAATGTTGAAAGGGGCAACATTGGTTAAGATGTATTGTATTCATAAAACTACTTTGTTGAGTGGCATCTCCTTTGTACAACTACTCATGTATGGTCTAGTGCTTTAATTTCACATCTTTACTAGGACCCTGGATGTAAACACCATCTGTGACAAGGCTGTGGTGATACAAACAAGTACACTGGGGTCTGTCACTCAGTCCTATGTTACAATGCTATCTTGTCTTTCCTCTACTGTATGGTTATCATCTTAATGTTCCCTCTTAAAATTCCATCAAATTTTCCACTTCCCTTAGTGCAGATTTTTTTTTAACAGGAATCAGTAAGCACGTATTTGCTTTTAAAATGTACAGTCCAAATCCATGAGAATAAAATATGAATATTAATGCAGTTGTGCTGTGCAAAATGTGGCTACTCAGACTGCTTATGCTAAATTCCTGCAGACATCGTAAAAGGCTTGTCGACCTCACAGAGGAGGAATACAACTTCTGGATTCCCATACAGAGATTCATCATTTACAGATTTACCATTATCATTGATCTGGCACTTAGGCAGACCAGTAAGTCACCATTAAACATTAGTTTAATACTATCCCAACTCTCTTTTGTCTGCCTCTTCAATAAGTGTTGATAAGATTTAGTTGACAAAGACAATAAATATAAAGCCATAGTAACCAAAAAGACTAGAATACTCCAAGCATTTGCTCATTGTTGGCTGGAAATTTCTGACTCACGTCAAAGAGGAAACATTGTGAAAAAAATTTTGGAAGATCAAATGAACATTTAAATTACTCAAGGATTAAAAAACATAATCACAAAATGAACTTATGAGTAGTCAGGACAATGTACAAGACCCCAACTAAGTACTTCAATAATAGCAAGTACAAATCAACAGTGGCTGCAATCAAATAACTCTGTACTGTGTCTCCATGAGTGTGGAATGTAATGTAGCATTTACTCATCACACACCATTCGTGAACACAGACACACAACGTTCTACAGCCAACCACGACAGCCTGTACATTCTTCAACAGGAAAGATGGGCAGAATAATTGTCGAAAGTGCCTATTTTGCCTGCCACACAAATCATTTCAAGCAATTAGAATTCATTATACAAAATTGTCCCATCCCGCCACCCGCCAAATGAAATACAAGCCAAAACCAAACTAACTCGTAATGACACAGAGGCACCATGATTACATGAGTAGGAAATGAGACCCGACAATGTGCCTTTGGCTAACGCCATTTCTGAGCAGCGAACATTGTGTAGATTATTATAAGGTGATTGTGGAACAGATCTTGGTATGGCATAATCATTTTGAAAGGCTACTCACTAAAGTTGTCCCATAATCTACATCACAGGTGCAAAGTACAGGAAGAGAGTATTATTTCATGTGACTGAACGTTTCTAGAGTCCACACCCCGGAGGAAGGCACATGTTTTGCGATGTCCAGTTATGAGTGAGTGCTCTGTGTTCATCGGCCATCAGTGCAGCAGTGCAGCAGACACCCTCCCCCACCCTCCACCACCTTACCCAGTCACCTGGCAGGACCACCTGGGGTATCTCAGAGAAGCTCTCAGTCATCCATTCCAACCCCCTGACAGCACAGGAAAGCTCGTAGGTACTCACCCTGCAAACTGGGCACTGCCAGTGAGTACTGCTGTCTCTAAGCCTGAACTCATCAGACAAACACTTGGAATGATACACACGAAAACACAGGTCACATATCAACACCTCTCCAGGCAAATGGCATTCAAAACAATACCAGTCATGAGTCTCTGTTTCCCAGTCCTACAAAAAATACAAAATAATTTCGTATGACATTTTGTCGACATCTGCAAGGACTAAGAACAAAATTCAAACTGAAGTCCATCAGAGGTTAGGCATTATACACAATTTTAGACATTCACCATTAAAACAAGAGGGAAAATACCTAGAAATTACTTCTTTAAAATTTAAATTCTTTCCCAAGCAATATTAATACTCAGATCTTAAGACAATCTGATTGCAAACCAGTCCCAAATGCAGTAAGTCCAAAGCCAATCCACTTCTAAATTGCCTTCCATTTTAAAATGTGACCTAAGGAGTAATTTCTTTAATAAACTGAATACACCAAACCAACCTTACTCTTTCATCCTGCTTTTTAAAGCCCTTCAGTAAGTACCTGCACACACAGTGATACTGGAGAGAATGCTAAGAGTGGTGCTGATCACTGTTCTACCTTCTCACCCCTGGTACTGATGCTCACTGAAAATAAGCCTTAGTCAGAATGTCCATGTTCTGGTGGCTTCCCTCATGTTCGGGTCCTATTGAATTTGGAAAATAAATTGAAAATGTGAAATTAAACATTTAGTCCTCTTGTCCAAAGGAAATTGCCAAAGAAAGTAAAAAAGGGAACAGAGGCTTATTTCCTAGAAATCAGGGATCATGATAGGAGGTACGAAAGTGTTCCTCCACACGTTCTTACCCGTGACACCTTGTACAGTCAGCACCACTTCCATACATGAAAGGAAGGCTAGGAGGCATTCTTTAGTTTATGGTTCATTCTTCATCACTCTTAGCTTTTAGTAAAACCTACGTAAGAGTGATGGGTTGGTTAACTTTCAACCTTCTTTTGTAGACATGGTAACCAAATGGGCAAAAAGAAAACTCAGCTATGGTAAGCAAGGCGATTCCAGTGGGACTCCGACACTCCATGTTTGTGCTCTGCCATCATTTTTCCTTTTATTATCACCATCTACTTTGTTCACAGGGGTGAGCAGCTTTCTTGTTTTCTTTGAACCTTACTCTTCCATCAATGGATTTCTATGCAGCACTCGGTAAATAATAACTTCTAGAAACTAGGTTCAAACATCTGAGTGCTACAATTCCCTATATTCCAAGGGTAAAAATGACCACACCCAGAACCATGGGTGAGGAACAGGACATAAGAGCAAATCCTGTAGAAATGTAAACTTTCCAGTTTGCTTCTTGCTAAGAAATTGATGTTCTTCCTGGACCAAAGCAATAAAAAAGGTATGACCATTTTTAGTTAAACGCGACAGATGCACAGACTCCAGAAGCTTATTGTGGTAGAGGACTTTCGGGTGAACTGCAGTCTTGGAACTGATTGCAGGACCCAGTGGCACCATATAGACATAGCATATGTGTGGGGTGCTTGGCCAACTTAAACCAGTCACTGGCATATTCATGTCAGCTAGCTGGCAAATACATTACATCTTAACTATTTCAATGTTCATATCTAAAAAATTCCAACATAAATTAAGCTTCAATGGAGATAAGGCACCTTATTTGATTTTTAATTGGCAGACCTCTTTCCAACAATACATTTCAGATTCTTATCACCACAGCTGTTTAGAAACATCTTTAGAGATTTCAAGGGCTTATATTTGACTCATTACTAACCACAGAAATTGCCATATTCTTCGTTACTTGAATTTTGGACATTAATTGGCCTTTACATGATGATCAGAATGATAGGCCACTAAAACCAAGAGAGCAAAGCTCTAACCTCTCTATGTGATCCTCCCCCCTCCTGCCTCCTCTCCTGTTTCCATCCACCTAGGAAACAGAAGTAAAAATGAACTGTTGATGTGTGCTTAACTCTAGACTGTTTTTTGGTAACAGCTATAAAAATGGCAGCATAATTTAAAAGAAGCAAATTACAGAAACATGGATATATGTTCTTCTATACATTTGGATCTATCTATTCTTTTAATGATAGCAATTGTTGTTTGGAATATACAAAACATGGAAGACTCAAGTCCAAGAATCACTAGATTCTGAGTCTAGAAAAAAATTTTTTGAGGTACAAATGACACAGGCACATTTATTAATGTCAAAGACCCTTAAAACTGTCTTTTAGTAAATAGAAATCATTCCCATAGTGCTCCTGACTAGCATTCAACCATGTTATAACCTGAGTTGCATTTTCACTGGGTCCTATAAGATGCCAACATCTATTCTACATAAAGCAAGCCAAAAAAAGCAAACCTACTAGCACAAAATTCAAAACTAGAAGTATTACAGACAGTATGGTTTTAACAAACAAGTCATGGCAAGAGTTAACTAAGCTAGCCTATAGTAAGATAGAAATACATTACAAAAAAAAGAGAGATAACAAAATTAAAGTAAAATAACATAGTACAAAATTAGTTCACCTTGTCTGGGGTTGCTGTCCTGAAGAAAGGCTGCATACTGTAGGCCTTTCAAAATAAAAACAAAATAATCTTGGTCTCTCTACCATAGTTTTGCTCATTATCAGGCAATACACAGGGCTACAGTGATTTCATACATGGTCAAATGGTTATATCTTGCTTTACGACAAACTATTTTGCAGATACTATTACTAAAATATACTAATGTACTAACCATTAATAAAAAGACAAGAGCATGCAAACTTAAGAATCATTATTAGTTTGAGAGGAAAATTTTCACACTAACAAAGTGCTACAGGTAGATATAGAGAAAACTTCTCTGGGAATTCATGAAACCTACGATGATGTTAGGAAAGTGTCATACTTTCAGTGTTATCACACATTTGCACAATCCCAGGAATAATAATGTCCTTTCACTTTGAAACAGGTTCACACTGGACTTAAAATGGGTGATGAGTGTGACTGTAGTGAACTCAGCACCTCATCATATGAGATTTATGCAGGCTATCCTCAGAACCTAGTGGAAAATGGTCCACCATCCAGCGGCATGTCATCCACATAACTTCAGTTAACACTCTGAGCCAGACTGGCTCAAATCCTGCTCCTGGCACGCAGGGCTATGTAACTGAGGGAGGAATGTCCTTTTCTAGCTGTAAAGTGAGCAGAGTGGTAAAAAACAATGGATTCACATGTGCAGAGCATGTGAAAGAGAGCCTGGCACAACCCAGGCACTCAGGAACTGTGAACTCATGTTATTATCTATTGAATGCACAAAATGGAAACTGACCAAGCCACAATTAATGACACATTTCTAACTACACAGGTGTGCATCTCTTCCAAGTCCTTTAAAATTCAACAGCACATTTGCTTTCCACATTTCTATAAGTTAGAACATGAATTATTATTCTCTCCAATTTGGAGATGAACTGGAGCTTGGCAGGGTGGGTATTCCATCACATAGCAGGGGAGTACCTGAGGAACTGTTAGGGGAAGGTATTCCAAACTACATCCCAGCCTCCTCAACAAGTCAAGGCAATTGCTTAAAGTCACTTCCTATTCCTACTTGGTGAACAGACCCATATTACACTACCTGATAGCGGGCTCCAAGGCAGACATAATGCATAGCTAATGCTTTGTGATTCTAGGTTATTTTAACTGCTAACAAATTCAAGTTAATTACACAGATGTGAGAATTGATGGTTAAGTATTTCCAGTGATTTTAAATATTATTTTAAAGATAAAACGTTACAATATTGCTCAAACAAAAATCAGACGGAAAAAAGAAAGAATGCATATACTCAATACAAACGAAAAAGAATAGTGAGAGCAAATATTTTGAGCAAAACAAATTTTTTACGCCAGCAAGAATAATTTCAGGGTGTGAGCTGTAGTAAATGTGATTTCTAATTAATTAATAGTCAGTGATGCTGTCCTTTCTGGGTAACCACATGATCGTTCATGTTTTCATGACAGATTGGGAATGAATATTTGGAAAGAATGCATGGTTTCAAATGTAATTAACATGAAGAGGGCAGAATATATTTCATAATATAAAGTAACAATGTCCAAGGGGCATTGAATATTGCATTTAAAGCACTAAAACATGTGACAAGTGTCACCAGAAGGGGGCAAATTTCTGCGCTGACTTCACAAGCACTCCCTGCCGGGCTGCACTGCAAGAGCGGGGCTCAGCTTGTCCAGTGTTGCCTATAAGCACAGAGCAGGGAGCTGCTTCTTGCCATGGCTGCGCAGCGTGAGATTCCTGAAGATTAAGTCCAAATTCTATGAGATGGGAGTTAGGTTAAAATTTCAAAAGAATCCAAACCATAGTTTCTTTCAGAATAAGCCATTTGGACCAGGTGCTGGTGGTTCACTGTAATCCTAGCTACTCAGGAGGCTGAGGGGGAAGAATGGCAATTTAAGGTCAGGCCAGGTAGAAAAGTTCCTAGACTCTATCTCAAAAATACTCAGAAAACTAACAAACAAAAACAACAACAACAAAAACAGCTAGAGGTGTAGCTCAAGTGGTAGAGTGCCAGTCTAAGAGGCCCTGAGTTCAAGCCCTTGTTTTGCAACCCCAGAAAGACGGGAAGAAAAAAAGAAAGAAAATGAGCAGGAGTGAGGGAGGGAAGGAAGGAAACTAAAGAAGTATCTATCCTGCCCTCCAGGATTAGAATTTAAGCATTTATCCCTAAGATATGTTAAACTCTTTAAGAAACCACAATATACATATTTTAAAGGGATATAAAAAAAAACCTTAAATGAGAAAAGGCAAACAATAGAGAGGCCACATTTTCATGTAGACAGATGCACCAGGCCTGTGGAGAGGAATGGAGGGAGCCCTTCTTAGGCATGATCAACTTTTCACACAGTTGTGAAAAGAAAATACTGGAAGCAGGATGTGCAACAGTTACTTTTGTCTTCTAAGTAGCCAGTTACTTTTGCCTCCTAAGTAGCAAAACAAACCTGCATAAATCAGAAGCAGAAGTTCCAAAACTCATATACTATCTTTATACTGATAATAACAATGAAAGAAATGAAGTCCCAGGACCAAATCTGGCAGGTATGTAAACGAAATAGTTTTATACATTAAAAAAAATCTTTCTCTCTTCTTCCACACTGGTAACCAAATTATTCAATATCAGATGAAAACCACCTGTCTAATGCAAGTGTAGCTCTGTGCTGGGAATTGTGGATACAGATGGAAGTCATCAAATAATACTATCTCACTTGCAAAATACATATTGACATGCTTTATCTGCAAATGATCTGTTACTCAAGGTTACCTGTCTTCCTATAAGACAAGAAGGATATGACTAAGATCTTCCCACCCTTAGTGAGCACCTACAGTGAAGAGGATAACTCGTAAGAGATTAACGTATTTATTAGGAGGATAGCTAAATAGCATACTAAGCTCAGTCTGGGAAATGGTAAAATTCTGCCCAAGAAATAGAATTTTGAATTTGTAAGGATAAAGAGGTGGAAGAAATGTGGATTAAACATGTCACCCATGGTTCTCAGAGCAAGCAGATGAAGAGGAAACCCAGGAGCCTACAAGAACATGGAGAGTTTCTTTAGAAAGAAATTGAAAGAACAAGTCCTGATATAATAAAACAGCAAATGGTCAGACATCACAAAGTTCCTTCTTGCCCTCATCTAACGGCCTTTTGCCAATATAATTTCATAAACTATGAAAATCACCTTTGAATAAACTTTTGAACCCTGTTAGTACATGTTAATGACACAGTAGTCTGGAAGTGTGGAAATGACCATTTAAAATTGACAGGAGCTGGGCACTGGTGGCTCATACCTGTAATCCTATCTACTTAAGAGAGAGAGCAAGCTGAGGATCAAGGTTTGAAGCCAGCAGGGAAGACAATCATCAAAAAAAAAAAAAAAGACATGTGGGACAAGTGGTAGCGCGCCAGCTTAGGGATGGGGGAGAGCGGTGAGGGTAAAGGTCCCAGAATTCACGAAAACAAAACAAACCCAGGAGTGTTGCCCTAGTTCTACACATTCATCCTTCAAGAAGACTGGCTGGAGCATATATTTTGCTTGTACATTGACTAACATTATTTAAACAAGCCATTTAGAAAATGTGAATAGCCTTGTTTTTAATGCCTACTTTTTCATGATCTCATATGGACATACATAAAATATAGCCATGAAGATGCTTATGCATGGCCTAATTTTACAATAGTTTCTCCAAATGTAATTCTCCTACACAGGGGGCTGTGAACAGTGTTTGAGATGAGCTTGTCAAATGCCTGAGCATCAGTCGGATCTGGTAGAAGTCATTTCTGTACAATGAGGGCTTCTGCCTTTGGCTCACAACATACAGGCTTTCTTGCAAGCAAGTCTTACATCTTTATAGCCTTACCAAACACAGCTAAGCTTCTAGTACACGTAGCTGGCCTTACTATAAACAAAGCTCAAGACAGGCATGTTTTTCAGTAGATTCAAGCTTTTAAAAACAAGCCTTGGGAAAAAAGTTAGCAGGGACGGAATAAAAATATAACATTGACAACTCTCATTAAAGCTACACCAATGTAACTGTATGGCGAGAGGAACTCAGGATCCACCGGCTCTTCTCAGAATAATGGTGAAAGCCAAGATGGCAGAGCCTGCTTCTGCTGATGTGAAGGCTTCGCAAGACACACAACTCTGTCCCACCTCTGATTCTACAGCTACCATTTTTTTTACAGGTAATAGAGGGGAAAAGAAGAGTATTACCATCTATTTTTAGCATGGCAGGACTGCCTGAGTGAGGAATCGTGGTGACTTTGAACTAAGTGTTTAAAAACAAACTACTAAAATATCCAATAACTTTCCTTCCCAAAACTATATGTACCTTCTTGACTGTTTCTCAATTCTGCATCAGAAGTCAACAAGACAACGAGTAAGGCAGAAGACCCAGTTTTTAGGTCACTAAAGTGAACTACACCACATAAAAGGTGGAGAGATCCAGCAGGTGGCATGCAAACAGAGCTGGCCCCACAGTGAGGAAAGGGGAGCGAGCCATCCATCTGAAGATCTTATGGTGTACCCTTACAGTACTGTCTCATACTAGAGACCTGCTAAAAAAACATTAAACAAATAGACCATGCCTGATATGATGTGAACAATGCCTCTTAAAGTTGTTGCTGACCAACTTATGCCTGGCCTACAAATGTGGGCCATCTAGTCAATACAGTCACACAAAGCTGGCCAAGTGTGAGCTACCTGTATCGTTAAAGGTACAGAGCTAATCACACGAGCTGCTAGTGTTATTAGGGCATGAAAACTGTCTGTGTAGGCAGTGGAGACAATGACATGAAAGTGCAATCAGTCTATTATTTCCAAGTCTTGTCTAAATTAAGACATTAGAGGTGTTTGTGTTTGATTTGTGCTTGAGGACACATGCTACAAAATAAAAATTCTGAGTAAAAATTTTTGCTTTTAATAAACTCATGAGCTTTTGATGAACTCTAGATAGGTATTTCCTTGTGTTTTAAAGTTTTATTTTCTTCTAATTAATAAATAATCCATATGTAGGGTAAAGTAATGTTTCAATGCATGTCTACAATGTGGAGATGATCAAGTCAGGATAACTAACATCATAATTCAAACGTTTATCATTTCTTTGTAGTAAGAACATTTAAAGTTCATTCCTTTACATACTTTGAATACACAATATTTTTATGCATCATCACCTTGCTGTGTGACAAGTAAATCTGTGTGTATATGTGCACTGGGTCTTGAACTCAGAGCCTTGAACTCTTGCTTCTTTTTCTTTTTTCTTTTTTTTTGCACAAGGCTGGTGCTCTACCACTCTGGCTTTCTTGCTGGTTAATGAAGGGGGGAAGAAAGAGTCTCACAAACTTTTCTGCCTGGGTTGGCTTAAAACCACAGCTCTGGAATCTCAGCTTCCTAAGTTAAAATTACAAGCATGAGCTACCAGTTCCTTGCTTACCTAAGTGTAACTGACTGGTCAGAAATTTGCTCTGACCTTATCTATATATGTTTTATGTAGATAATTTCATTTAGTCCTTAAATAAGGCTGACATCACCATGCTCACATTACAGCTGAAGACAAAATGAATGAGGTTTCCAATGTTCCTCACTATTATTTATATACCTAAGTGAATACCCGAGATAGACCTGAACCCTGCAGACTGAAGCATGCATGCCTTACCTCTCTATATGTGCTTATGTACAGTAACTGAATTCTAAATGCTTACACACTTTTTAATCTGGACATAAATCTGATATATATAGCTATATTATGCATGTTTATTTAGTATAAAATGTATTGTAAATAAGAATTGTTTAATGTAAGGCTTCAGCTAGAAAAAAGGAAAATAAAAGATGATACTATAAATATATGCATTACGAACATAAAGAGTATACAGGACCTAAGTAATTATGAACATGTAATAATAAGATGATTAACTGCTGGTTGAGTTAAACTGAACATGGAAAACTTCAATTTGAGGAGCACAAACCTAGAAAGCAGAGAGAAAGTCACTTCTAGGGAAGTCTGTACCCCCATCTTGTGTGGATGGGGTCTCCTGTCTCTATAATTACTACAGATCTGAGATGCTATCTTAGTCTTCTGTAATGACACCTACAGATAACCAAGTGTTCGGGGGTGAGACATCTACATGATCTGGATTACTCTGATTATACAATAAACTAGTTGTCCATTATTTTTATTATGTCCCCAAAGTTTCTTGCCTAGATTTGTTGCTTTAGATTTCTGAAAGAAAACTCTATGGGGGGAGGGAGGGAACCTGTGCTGAAATGAACATTTTCACTTCACTTGCAATGCAAGTAAAGATGTTTTCTGCTCATTATAAACATTTTTCCTCCCTGAGGCTTTGAAGCACAGATTGAGTTGGCCAAAACTGGTGTAAATCTGAACAAACCTGCACCACAACTGTGTGGGAAGCAGCTACAAGGATGACCTTGCTCCCCAGGCCTCACAGAAGGGCATGAGGTTGGCTCTGTTGTGCAGAGCAGAGAAGGAGGGGATTCGAAGGGAGCGGGAACTTTCCCATGATGAACTGATCTTAGGATTTTTGTGTCATCTTAATAATTTTAGATTTCAGGGAATTTGTGATAGAGCACTCAAAACACTCAATTACTAAGTCTACTTCTTCTGATTTATTTATAGCTTGTCTTTAAATCCATTTTTAAAGCCTAAAATAATTAACATCTACTATATTTGGAACCAATCATTTGAAGCGGTGTTCATAAAAATTAGAACATCAAAAATATGGCAGAATAAATATATTACACACAAAAGTAATCTTTATAAAGGAAAAAATGTACTACTACTGTATGTGACTCTCAGTGTGACGTCTGCACTGAAAGGAATCAGAGGAGTAAAATATTACCACTAAGAAAGGGAGTTAAATTTAGGAAAACTAGGGAAAAAGAAAGAAAAAAAAAACTTTCTGCTTTTCTCATTAGACATCTGTTCTGGTATACAACAACTACAATCGTCACTGGTGAAGAAACAGCCAGGGAACAGACACCAGAAGCCTCTGGCTCTGTTCTAGCCTCAGCTAGAGTGCGGTCCTGAGTCCTGTGCCATCTGGTGCCAGTGAGACGGTGGTGCGTAGGGCCCGGGCGGTCCTCGCGCCTGGCCAGAGCGTGCCTGCATTATCCTTCACTCAAACACTTCTCCTCACGGTTACTGAGAAAGCGCCCAGAGGTACCATCATTTGTGCACAGGTCAAAAGGGATTTTGTTCTCACTTTTTAGATTTAAAAAAATACAGCTATTAATGTACCCTCTTACAAAAATATCAGAAGTCTCCTTTCTGCCAATGTGGAGCCTTAACGTGAATGACAATTGTTAAACTTCTGAAAATGAATTTTCTACAGCTTGTAGCTAAATAATGTTTAAAAAAAAAAAACCATAGAGCTCTGCCACTCTCGTGTTTCTCAGTTATACTTACGATTTCATCTCCTGGCAACCAGTACCCTTCCTGCTCAATGCCAGCTTTCGACCCTTTGCAGCCCACTGTCAGCGTCTCCACAATAAGGCCGTCTTTTACAGCCAAGCTCAGCTGACGGGTCGTCTCTTTTGGATGCATACCGTGGACTCGAGACATATACCTGAACACAGAGGAGACGCAAATTTACAATTCAGTATTGGGACACAGCATGAGGAAAGACGAGAAAATGGAGATTTGCCCGTCTTTTACTCATGACTCATTTATTTATAAGAGCTGGAAGAGAGAAGGGAGGAAAGGTAAAGGAGTAGGAGGGAAGGAAAGATGAAGGAGTGAGAAGGAAGGAAGGGAGGGTGGAAAGATGAAGGAGGGAGGGAGGGAGGGACGACGGGAGGGAGGGACGAAGGCAGGCAGGAAGGTAGGAAGGCAGAAAGGTAGGAAGGCAGGAAGGTAGGTAGGCAGGAGGGCAGAAAGGCAGGCAGGCAGGCAGGAAGGAAGGAAGGAAGGAAGGAAGGGAGGGAGGGAGGGAGGGAGGGAGGGAGGGATCAATCCATGTTCTTAGATTGTTTTAAATCTAAATTGTTATGTTTACAGAAATATTTGTTCAAAACAGCCCAAAACCAGCAAGTATAAGTTATTTAATACATTTTAGTTAAACATCTCATTTACTTGTAGCCTCTGGAGCAATCACTAACTTTCACTCTATAGCCTCAAGTTAGATTTACAGTTTTCAGTTACAGGCTTTGGAATTACAAAGATATTCTGCAAAGTAAGTTTCCTCATCTAGAAGCTCATGCCACAAGCCTAGAGTCAAAGCCAGCCCAGCAGGAGAGTCCATGAGACTCTTATATCCAATTAACCCCCAAAAAGCCAAAAGTTGAGCTGACATTCAAGTGGTAGAGTGCTAGTCTTGAGCAAAATTAGAACAAGGACAATGTCCAGGCCCTGAGTTTAATCCCCAGGACTGGAAAAAAAACAAACAAACAAGCAAACCAACAAACCCAAAACCCAAAAACACACACACACACACACACACACACACACACACACACACACACACACACACACACACACACACACGTACGTGTGCACACATGCACTTACTCAAATTTCAGAAAACAATGCCAAAGAATATTTGGAATTAGACAGGTGTATCTGCATATGAAGGAGGCACCAATGTACAATGTGACAGATCAAATGAAAATGTCTTTTCCAGATTTTCAGATTCATGGCATTTTTAAAGTAAACTTTATCAAACATGCTCTGGATGGCAGAGAGAAACAGTAACATTCCCTCCATGCTCATGGCAATATTTGGCTTACACATTCTATATCACATCTGAATCTATCTACTTCTACCTAGTTTTAAAGCTGTATCTCTTCTTATGTCTTAAAGAAATATAATACTATAGATATATTTCAATTTGAGCCATTCTCCATTCTCCTCCAAACAAACCCCAACAACTACTTTTTCCCAGTAAACTATTGGATTTCAGAGGGCCTTTTGCCTATCCAGATGAGAACATATCATGAGACAAATCAGACTGGCTGGACCTCTCAGCTACATGTTCTCCACTGAAAGGCAGGAAAGTGACACCTGTACAGTCCTCAAAGTAATAACACAGGACTCAAATTGTTCCTGAAGCTCCTACTTAATATTAGTCTGTTATTCAGGCTCAAAGCAACAGGTAATTTTGAAATTCATCCATCTGAATTTAGAGGATGAAATTTAACAAACAGACAAACAACAACAACAAACAGAAAAAGTTGCAGCAAAAGGATTAATGATAAGGGTGTATGTTTTCAGTACATGAAAGACTACTTTTTTCTGCTTAGGAGATAGCTTACTTTGTAAAATCTTGTTTCAGCCATCACCTTCACAACAGAAGGACTAAGACAGAAGAAACATGAGGATTCTGTCTAGCGAACAGAACATAAATCCTGACAAAGGAGATATGCCATAATTAACAAAACCAGAGAAAAATGAGGAATTAATCCAAATACACTAATTTTGTCACTTTTTTGACAGTCAAAAGATTCTCCAAAAACTGTCCTAAGGGATTCAATGTATTGCTTAAATTCCTAAAGATAATCATTAGAACAACAAAATTTCTAAAATTATCTGGACTTACACAAAACATACCATGTAGTACAGCATAAAAACAACAGGAACTGGGCTAGGAAGGTGGCTCAGTGGTAGAGTGCTTGCCTTGCATGCATGAGGCCCTGGGTTCGATTCCTCAGCACCATATAAGCAAAAAGAAAAAAGCCGGAAGTGGCGCTGTGGCTCAAGTGGTAGAGCGCTAGCCTTGAGCTGAAGAGCTGAGGGATAGTGCCCAGGCCCAGAGTTCAGGCCCCATGACCAGACCCAAAAAAAACAAAAACCAACAGAAACAAAACATAGGATGAGGATTCAAATGAAATCCTCGTCTTCTTATGGTAAAAAGTATAAATGTTTAACAGTTTTTTAAAATTAAGAACAAGTCAGAAAGACTGAAAATGAATGGGAGCTAGTACTGGTGGCACACGCCTATAATCCTAGCTACCTTAGAAGCTGAGAATAGAAGGGTTATGGTTTGAGGTCAGCCCAAGCAGAAAAAGTTCATGAAACTCTAGGCAAAAAACAATCAGCAAGCTAGCTGTCAGTGTCATCCTATCTACTCAGGAGGCTGAGATCTGAGGATCAAGATTTGAAGACAGCCTGAGCAGGACAATCTGTAAGACTGTTATCTCCAATTAACCACCAAGAGGCCCTAAGTGGAGCATTAGCTCAACCAGTAGAGTAACAGAAAAAGAATGAGAAAAGTATACAATAAATGTAATTCAAGTGAAGCTGGGTTCAAGATCACAGTGTGTAAGATTTGGAATCCTACACACTGAATTTTTAATCAGAAATAAAAATAGGGCATGGATTGTTATAGTGCAAAAATAAAATTTTAAAGAGCCTGGGGTGGTGGCTCACCTAGCTGCTTGGGAAGCTGATCCTGGGAGGACTGTAATCAGAAGCTAGCCTGGGTAAAAAGTTGGCCAGACCGGATCTCAACCAATCAAAAGCTGGTTGCAGTGGTACTTACCTGTCATCCCAGATAGAAGGAGGATAAATAGGAAAGCAGAGGTCCAGGCTAGCCCAGGGCAAAAAGCAAAATGCTATTCTAAAATCAGGAAAGTACAAAGCACTGGCAAGGGGGTGGGGTAGTTGCTGAAATGGTAGAGTGGTTGCCTATTAAATCCAAGGCTGAGCTCATACCCTAGCCAGGCAGGGAGAGAGGAGGTAGGGGAGAGAGAAGGAAGAAATATTGCCAGAAAAGAATTCTGAAAATTTCATTCACATCCCTGTTCATATACACAAAAATGTGGATTAAACATGAATATGAAATAGTTAAATAAAATGTATCTGCTATTTTATTCTAAACCTATTGCTAACAATCGTTAACTTTTAAAAAGTTAATCTAAAAGGTGCAAAGAGATCTAAAAACAATAATGAAGAAATGAACCATACAACTTGGGGGATAGGAAGTTGGGAGGGAAAAAACTGGGAGAAAATAAGAGAGTGACACTGTTCAAAAAGAAACATACTCAATACCTTACTTATCTAACTTTTAACCCCTCTTTACAACGCCTTTAGAATAAAAATTTTAAAAAAACAATGAAAATGCTCAACAGTGCTAGTTATAAAACAACAAATGTAGAAGATGCCCTTCCACTGATCTACAGACCCAGCCTCAAGTTAAAAGAAAATCACATGGGCGCCGTACCGCAGCCTGACAGTCCCTGCACCTGGACGGCTGAGTCAACAGAGTGGCAGGTTTGAGGCCAGCCTAGGCTGGGAAGCAAGATCCTGCCTAGAAACAACAACGGATGATCAGATCACCATTATTTACAACAGCAATAAGAAGAACAGCACAGTAAGAGAAATGACAAATTCTGCATGAAGAAAAGTGTGAGATGCTATCAGTGCAAAAAGGGAAGAAAATAGCAATTCTGATTGTAATAAAGCTAGATTTCCAAATTACTGCTAGAAAGATTAATCAGGGGATGGTACTTGGTAAACTGATTAACTAAATTGAGGAAAAAGGAGGAAAAGGAGAAAGCCCTATCTCAGTCTGCACCCATAATTAAATTCTATATAGTATAGATTTAAACATTAAAAAAAAGATAAAACTTCAGAATTGTTAGAAGAAAACACTGGAGATGGTTTTTCACATTGGTGTGGAAAAAAAAAAAAACCTAAGTATGAAACAGAATCCAAATCAAAGAAAAACATCACACAAAAATCACTAGATCAATTTAGTAAACACAAGAAGAGGAAAAAACAAAATACAGGAAATCAAGAAAATGGCAGGAAACATTACACATCTCTCTATAATAACCTAAATATTAATAGACTCAATTCTTCAATCAAAAGAAGATAGAAGACTGGATCAAAAATAAGGTCCATCCATTGTTTGCATTCTGCTTTGGGTTATTTTTTAATTAATTAAAGCTTCCACTGGTTATGATATATACCTTTTAATATATTACCTGTATGTCACATTTATTGAATAAATAAAATATATTAATTTCTGATCTTAGGTAAAAGAATTCAGATACAAATATTTGCACAAAATAACATACCTTTACATATAAAGAACTGTCAAGTATGCCACAAAGGCTGTCAAGCTAACTTATAAAATAACTCTATTACAAATAAAAGGAGGAGGAGGAGGAGGAGGAGGAGGAGGAAAAAAAGGAGGAAGAGGAAGAAGAAGAGGCTGAAGAGGAGGAGGAGGAGGAGGAGGAGCAGCAGCAGCACAGTTCCAAGCATAGGGTCCTTCTTTCCTCCACCATCCCACAAATAATAATGATAATAATAATAATAATACAACAATAATATTCCCCCATTCCTCATTATTCAGAATATTTTCTCTCTAAAACATTTATCCACTAATAATTATATGGCAAATTCTTAATACAGTACAAATCCTCAATAAATAGCTCAGTCTAATACTTCTTTTTGCCTTTCTTTCCAGCATTGTTCTTTCCCAGAATTACCGCAAAAAAGAAAAAAAAGAAAGCAAGAATCAGAATCCAGAAGTGACACAAGATGGACATCTTTACACAAAAGTACCAACTTCACCTTCTTCATAAGAAACACAGTGGCCAAAATTAAATGAGAAGCTGGGAA